TGAATTGAATTTCATGATTCCAGGACATACCAAATTCAAATGTGATGGTAATTTTGGTATGATTAAAAAACTCTATAGAAGAATAAGAACAGATTGTCTGGTCCACGTAGTTGATGTGATAAAAAAGTCTAGCCCAGCTGGATTAAATAAAACTCAGTGTTATGAAGGTGGAAAAGGTTTTCAATATTTAGATATTAAAGCTATTTTGGGGATTTATTTTAGGAAATTACCAAGCATCCAGAAATATCAACATTTTCTTTTTGAAGCATCTAATCTCGGTACAGTGAAAGTTCAAGAAGTTGCTAATGGACCTTTTACTGAATTCAATTTATTGAAAACCAAGAAAGCAGATATTTTTGAAGAAATTAAAGCTTTATCTATTTTAATGTTAACAAAGATATTACTTGTCCAAAGCCAACTTACAGTAAAAATATATTATGAATCAAAATAAAATTGACTCTCTAATCAAACAAAAGTCTCAAGATCCTTAAAAATTATTTGTGATTGGATGAATTTTTGTTTCCTTATTGACCTCATGAAATTTATAAATTTGGCCAAAAGCATGGTCTTTGGTTAGATATTCCTTTGAAGATTTTTTCAAAACTTTTTGGGAAAAAGTAACTATAGTTAATTGAAGAGGTGGTGCTGGTAAGAGTAAAGAAATTGAATGAATATGTAGGAGAAAATGAAAAAGAAAAATTACTTGTTAAAGACTTTGAGATTGAAAAATTTAAGGAGAGAAGAAAGAAAAAAAGGCAGTGATAAATACTCAGAAGTGGATAGTTTAGATAATACTCCATTACTTTCCCTTAATAATGACTTACTATTGGCTTTAAAAAATGATTTGATTAATAATGATTTAGTGATTATTTCTTCTACTAATGCTAAAGAAAACAAAATGTCTGCAAATGGGAAATTCAAGAGGGAAGGCTTTTGGAAATTTTCCCCAGTGTAACTTAAAAATGATTAGACTTTGTAAAATTGATGGACAAAATAAGCCTCACCTTTCAGAATGGATAAAAGAAAACCATCCTGATTCTGATATTTTTATTGATGATGGTCATACATGAATAACCTCAACCAGAAAACTATTGGTTCAGAGAAAACCTATGTAATGCCTGATTATAAATCTAATTGTCATGTTCAGGAAGATAATCTTTATCACCCAAAAACCACTGTTAGCAATCTAAAATATCAAGACTTTGCCAAAGCTGCTGAGGAATATAAAAACAATACTTCAAAGAATGAAGAAAAGTTTGATGGTAAATCTATTGGATTATGAATAGCAAGTATAACTTTAATCTTAGGCTTTATAATTGCTATGATTTATGTTACTAAAAGAATTAAAAGGAAAAAATAGATTAATTGTTCAACCATAAGACTTCATTTTTCATATTATTTTCCTTCTAAGGATTTCTGTTTTTTTGTTAGGTAATATCATATCTTTGTTCTGCTTTCTTTTACTGATGTTTATCATTTTTCTTTCTTGGTAAATTTCATAGGTAATCTTTCTTTCCTTAGATAAGTTTCAATTGTCTGAGTATCATTTATTTTGAGCAATTTTTTCGCCTTGTTCCTTTTTTAAAATACTACTGATAGTACTATATATAATTCTTGGGTTCCATAGGACCCCGAACAATCTTAGGAGATGGTACATTTCAATTTTGGGTAGAAATGGCCCTCAAAATCGAATATCATTTCTTAATTAGGATAAATTTTGTGATGATCTTGTAAAATATTTCCAAAAATGGTAATAAAGTGGGTATTTTTCAAATGTACCATCTCCTAAGATTGTTCGGGATCCTGGTTCCATAGTAGATCTGATATAAATGATTTTCATATTAATTATTTAAGGAAAAAACAAAGATAACAAAACAAATGGGAGATTTTAATCATCACATTACAAATTTTGATACCTGAAATCCTTGGTAATATAAATGTTCACTTTGGTTTTGTTGCAAGCATGCTCCAAATAATGGTAAACATGCCATTTGTAGGTAGTACAACTGTGATGTTGATGATCTGTGAAATCTTTGTTGGTTGGCTCGGTTTAAAGACCTCCTATTGCTGCGCCATGCAGCCAAATTTCAAAAGAGCAATTTTGTAATTCGTTTAAGGGTAGAGTATACATAACACGAATCTACTATGATCTACAATGGCTAATTTTGATTTTATCCAGTTAAAAAAGTAAGCCACATATTAAAGACAAATAAAAAATAA